TAACAGCGGACAAAACTGGGACTCTAATCCTTGTAATTCTACTCGCCTCTGTTAACTGAGGAACAGCCGTGTGAGATGGTAGAATTAAAAGAGCATTCTAAGCTTTTTAAATAGTGTTAATATCTAAAAACAAAGAAAAAGAAAACAGGACAGTAAAAGTTACAGTGCAGTGTAAGTTATCAATCTACTAGTTAAAGGCAGTGGTAAAAATAAAAGTCTTAAATATTTAATTAAAAGCAATGGTAAAAAGAAAAATTTTCAGTCTTAATTTAAAAGAACTGACAGTTTCAGCAGTTATCTGGGAGTTTGTTCCAGATATATGGAGCATAATAACTGAACGCTGCTTCTCCTTGTTTAGTTTTGACTCTGGGGATAGAAAGCAGACCTGCCCCAGACGACCTGAGAGGTCTGGATAACGAAGCAGAAGATCAGAAATGTATATTGGCCCTGAACCATTTAGTTCTTTATAAACTAACAGCAGGATTTTGAAATCAATTCTTTGACATACAGGAAGCCAATGTAAAGACCTCAGAAATGGGGTGATGTGATGCACTTTTTTGGTCTTAGTGAGGACTCGAGCAGCAGTATTCTGATGGATTTCTTAGGGAGCCCTGTAAAGACACCGTTACAGTAGTTAAGTTGACTGAAGATAAATGCATGGATAAGTTTTTCCAGGTCTTGCTGAGACATAAGTCCTTTAATCCTTGATATATTCTTCAGGTGATAGTAGGCTGACTTTGTAATTGTCCTAATGTGGCTCCTCAAATTCAGGTTTGAGTCCATGACTATACCAAGATTTCTGGCTTGATTTGTGGTTCTTAACATTACAGATTAAAGCTGAGCACTGACTTTCAATCGTTCTGCCTTGGCTCCAAAAACAATAATTTCAGTTTAATCGTTGTTTAATTGAAGAAAATTCTGGCACATCCAACCATTGACCTGTTCAATATAGTTACTCAGCGCTTGTATGGGATCATGGTCCCCTGATGATATGGTTATGTAAATCTGTGTGTCATCTGCATAATTATGGTAACGTATTTTGTTGTTTTTCATAATCTGAGCCAGTGGAAGCATGTAAATGTTAAACAAAAGAGGCCCCAGAATGGTGCCCTGGGGAACTCCACATGTCATTTTTGTCAGCTCAGATGTGTGATTACCTATAGACACAAAGTAGTCCCTGTCCTTTAAAAAAGGATTCAAACCAGTTTAGTACTGTGCCAGAAAGTCCAACACAGTTTTTAAGTCTGTCTGTCTGTGGTCGACTGTGTCGAATGCAGCACTGAGATCCAATAATACTAAGACTGAAATTCTGCCACTGTCAGTGTTTAAATGGATGTCACTGAAGACCTTAACAAGAGCCGCCTCAGTGCTGTGGTGTGGTCGAAATCCTGACTGGAAGACATCAAAACAGTTATTTGGTGCCAAGAAAGCACTAAGCTGTTGAAAAACAGCCTTTTCAATGATTTTACTTAAAAATGGGAGATTTGATATGGGCCTATAATTGCTCATTAGTGACCTGTCTAGATTGCTCTTTTTTAAGAGTGGCTTAATGACTGCAGTTTTCAGGGCCAGTGGGCAAAAAACCTGAGAGGAGACATATTGACAATTTGTAGGGATCTGAGGCCATGCATTTAGAAACATTTTTGAAAAAACCTGTTGGCAGAATATCAAGGCAGCATGAGGAGGATTTCAGATGTTGGATTATGTCCTCCAGGTTTTTATGGTTAATAGAATCAAGTTGTCTCATGCTAAATTAATTGCTTTTAAGTGGACACAGGGACAAGACATATCCTGTTACTGACATGGAGACACAGATTGCTTGTCTAATTGTTTGAATTTTGTCTGTGAAGAAGGAGGCAAATTCATTGCAGGCCCTGGTGGATAGAAGTTCAGAGGCTACAGACACAGTAGTTTTTATTAGCCTGTCGACAATAGCAAACAAGGCACGTGCATTATTAGTGTTTTTGGTGATGATTTCAGAGAAGAAAGACCGCCTTGCATTTCTCAGTTCTAAATCATAAATGCGAAGTCTCTCTTTATAGATGTCATAATGAACCTGGAGATTTGTTTTCCCCATCCTGCGTTCAGCTTTTCGATACTCTCTTTTTTGAGTTCTAACCAGTGTGGCATTTCTCCATGGAGTAACAGAAAATACTAGTTTTTTTTTTAGCAAAACATGGCGAAACATTGCAGCTTCTCAATTAACTGAAGATCTTTTGGTTTTGAACAATTTGAAAAGCCAGACTGGGACTTTATATTTTTGGACATCTTGGAAAACAAACATTTAACAATTCATCAGGAAAACAATCTGCTGGTTATTAATTGATAATGGAAATAATAGTGGACAACACTTTAAAACATCATAAACCCATTTAGTTATGTCAAATTACTTATTTAACTAGCTCTGACAAGTTTTGAATTTTGAACTCAGCTGTATGAGTTTTATAAAGTTGAACTTGCATTAATTCATTGAGTTGACTATTTGGAACTTTTGTTGTTTTGATTGAACTTGCATATGTAAGTTATCAGTTGAAAAAAAGGGAAGCGTGGGGGGGATGGGAGCAAGAGAAAAAAAATTGCCTAGATGGCATCTTTTGAGTTTGAGAAAAACATATAATCAACTAATTATTAGGTTTTAGCAAGTACTCGGTTAAAACGTGTATCCTTTACAGATACTTTTTATGAGTACACGTATCATCAGAGTAAAATTTGTCAAGATCTGTTTTGTTATAAACTATAAATATAGGAACCTTTATTTGTTTTAAATCAATTACTATTGTGATCAAAAACATTGCTCTGAAGCTCAATTCTGAGGCTGTTCTATAAATATTTTTCTAATAAATATAGCAACTTCTGATTCCAATTTCAGGCTTAATAATAACTTCCAGATTAAGCCCGCCCATTCTGAGTATGGATACAGAGAATTTAATTTCTTGAACAGATACAGATAGTGGTGTACTTGCTCATCCCTAATAATAATACATTGCAGATATTCATATTCATATTCATGGACAATGTAATAGATAGTTGTTTAAATCACAGTATCAAGTTCAAACAATAATTGACGCAAACTGTATAATGTAACATCATGAGTTGAAACAAAGCTTTTTAGTTTAGTTTAGTTTTTAGTTTAGTTTCGTTTTAGTTGAAAGTTTAGTTTACTCACATTTTTAAGTCAGCAATTGAACTTTTTAAGTTGAACCACCTTAATCATTTTTACAGCGTAGTATGCTAGCAAAAGATTAAGACAGTATCAAGGCTTGTTTTAGACTTACATAGAGAAGTAAATGTCACAGAGAGTGTAAGTGAGTGTGTCTACAAGAATAATAAGTAATAAAGCAATTTATAATTTCAGTGCGGTATCCTGAATATGCTCAGTAGCATAATGTGGCTTAATGTATCTGCACGCAGTACTGTTCACATATCAGAGAGACACAGTTTGTGCTTGCACACATCTACATGCTGAAAGACATTCCGTCTGGGATTCAATATTCTGTTTGTCTGTGTACGTCTGACACGCACAGACACACGCAGCACTTACACACACACGATTGTGCACGTGTGTGATGGAAAGGCTTTCTGGAGCATGAAATAAGCTTTCCTAGGGAACAGTGAAGAAGAGAGTGGCTGACGTCCCTTGCCATTTCTTAATTAAGTGCACACAACTCTCATCTTAAAATCGTAAATGTCACCTCAGAGCTTCTCGCTACCGCTCCAGTCCTTCCTCTTGGTTATGGCGCTTAAGTAAAATGCTGAGGTGCAGTCTGAGTAATGCAACACTTGGCCATACACTTAATAAGATTCCCTGAGGGAAGGGCTCTATAGCTACAGCCATGGGTCATTCATTATTTTGTAAACCCAAAGATAAACCCAACAGTGAAAACTGTTCATAATCTCATGGTGAAACAAAAGCTCAAGCGGTGTATCAACTGTCAAAACACAGAACATTTCAAGAGTTAATTTTCCAAATAGGTAAATATATTTTATATTCTCCCCCTCCTCCCTTCCCCCTACTTCTTCTGCCTCTACATCACACCCGAGAATGTGCGATGTGTGCGTGTGTGTATGCATGCATGTGATGTGCTCTGGACTGTGATGTGCCGCGAGGAGGCAGCTCAACGATAAGAAACATATCTGTGCTCAGCACCTGCCTGCCTCCTGACTGACTGATTGACTACACAAGCTGATGTGGAGTCCCTCTCATTGTAACAGTGAAAATTCCAAAACTACAATGAGGAAATAAAGTGGAGTGTGCAGACTTTAAAGCTCGAGTTTTCCCAGTGGACGCATTTTCTCCCTGTGTGTGATGAAAATTAACCACATCTAACACATTTTAGTTGAAAATAGATAGAAATTTGTTGATCTGAAGATGAGAGTAGTAAAGCTGTGGCTTTGAAAATGACGCAGCCCCTAGCCTCAAAAACAAACAATTTTGTGTGAATCCTTGAGGCCTCTGTATATTTGTCACTGTGTAACAAAAGCTGCAAATGTTCTGTGTCTTTTCCATAGCACCTGACCTTATTACCTTGAATGTTTCATAAGCACATAATCTGTCATTCTAGCCAATGTTTGTGATCTGTTTGGTTTGGTTTGTGCCTGCAGCTCAGTGGAAGAAAGAAGCAGAAAGAAGGCTTCTATTGTCATTTACTACACGGTATCAAAAAGCACAGCTGTTAATTATCTTAATGCAATCAGACATTTGTTTGTCCTAGGTTCAGAGTACAAAAAGGCTTGAGCGTACACTCACATGCTCCACAAACATCTATGGCTTTTGCATTGCCACCAGTGCTATCACTAATACCAACTGCAGCGTTTAAATTTATTAACTTTTGATTGTATCCCATGCGTAACTTCCTGTGTTTCTCTCAACACAAACCCTAACCACGGTCATCTAATTTCCCCACCCCATCTCTGACTTCCCTGCTGTTCCTTCCTTCTCCCCCAGATCCAAATATACACACACACTGTATTGAACTACCCAACCCTATCGAAACTGTCGCGCTGATCTGGCAGAGGTGCGCCTGTCTCCCGTGTGCCCGCCTCCTCCTGCATGCCGTCTCACCTGCGTGCCGCCCCGCTCTGCATCGGCAGCCGCGTGTGACCGTGCGTGCGCGCCCTGGCGCACCCTCGACCAGGTGAATTAGATTGAGCAATCAGAAGCTCGCACACACTTCAATCAGCGGGAGCATATAACGCAGTCATTTGGCTGGTGAAAGGGACTGACACGACGGAATGAGCAGCACACATCCACTGCGGGGAATGAGACTTTTGATTTGACGGGCTATCGGTAAGCTCACTTGAATGTTGTTTAAATCTTTTCTGTTTAGGTGTTAATATGGGTGTGTTAAAGTTGTCGCTGCATGGTTGAAGAGAGGGAGAAACTATGTTCAAATGCATGGATATATATGGTTAAAATGTGTGGGTTTTCTACCTAATTTGTGTAAAAGAATGCTTAAATAGTAAGCCAAAATTGTTTTGTTAAAGATTAATTAAAATGCATAATTAGTTTGGTGAAATGTGAAGAATAATATTGAATTTAAATATACTTACCGTTTTGGAAATATTTACCTTGACTTGTGTTTACTGTGGAAATACCTGTTTATTCAAAATGCTTTTTATTTCTGTGTTTAAAGGTTTTTCACCTATACTGTTCAACTCCTGTTCAATTATTCAAATAAATTATTCTGAGTGAAATCCGAAGTCTGGTCCTTTTCAAGTGTGGACACCTCACAGTTAAAAGAAACACTTGACAGTGAAAAACCGGCCTGACAGTAGGAAACCGGCCGTGACAAGTGAAGACTCCACAAGAGCCCACCACAAAGAGGGAGAAGACTCCACCTGGGGGCCTGGAGGAAATCAACTACCTGCCGTTCACCTGTCAGTCCAACAGCCAAAAAAGGCAACATGGCCGAGTCCAAGTCACTCGAAGAGCTGAAAACAGAGCGAACTACAGTAAAGAGACTTTTTTCCCGACTCACCAACCATATAACGAGGACCCACATGGAGATGTCTGTGGAGGAGCTGCAAGATAACTTCAAAAGACTCACAGCAGAGGGCGCTAAAGTGATGGATGCAAATGAGGAGCTTGAGGCTGCTTACATTGCACAGGGCAAAGGAACCGAAGCAGAGGGCGCACCTGAGTTAAGCGACCAACAGAGAGCTGACATAGAGAAGACGGAGAAAGAGTGTGAGCAGAAGTTAAAAGAGGTAAAGCACCTTGTCCAGGAGACATTATGGGCCTCATGTGGTGAAAGAGAACTGACCCTTGCTCTAAAAGCTGCAGAGGCAGAGTGCGAGAACGTCTCCTCCACTCAGCCTGACACACCCCTGGAGGCATATGACTTTATGCTCCGCCATTTAGAGAGCCTGGTGCACAAAGCCAAAGAAGCGCACCAGACCTGGAACCGCTGGGCTCCACGAGCCGAGAAGCAAGATTTCAATCGTCGGCTAACGGAGCTCGAAACCCTCCTTCCCAAGCTGGTGTCGAGGAAAGCCGCCCTGATTGGAGCAGCAAGTATTAAAGAGGACAGCAACAGAGTACCAGTCACAGCCCACAGCGCAGCCCCTGTTGCAGCCATAAAGCTAAAAGCCACAGCTTTACCAAAGTTTACCGGCAGCCAGCGTGAGTATTACAGATGGAGGAAAGAATGGGAGGCTCTACAGAAGCAAGGTGAACCAACCGGATCCAAAGAGGTGAAGAAATTTCAACTACTTGATAGCCTCGACGAAAGAGTGGCCAAGGATCTACGGCTCTCTACTTACACCTCAGCAGACGAGATCTTCAGAGTCCTAGAGAACCGCTACGGAAACCAAGCCACCATCGCTATTGAGATTGTCGAGGAGCTACAAGCTATCCCACCTGTTCGTGGTAACCACCCAAGAAGAATCGTAGAGCTCATCCAAGCAGTGGAAAAGGCCCTCTATGATTTAAATGAACTGAGCAATGCAGATGCCATAAAAAACCCACTAGTAATAAAATCCATCGAGAGCAAGCTGCCAGAGTCCCTGAAGAAAGACTGGCTTACCCACGCTGCTGACCCAAGAAATGCTGTAAGCCACCAGAACCGCTTTGACAAGCTACTGGCATACCTCCAATCCCAAGAGTCTATCTACGAGCAGTTAGAACAGCTGAGAGACATCGACCCTGCCAAGGAGAAGACCAGGTTTCAAACAAAGTATGCCCGAACAAGGACAACTAAATCCAGCAGTGAATTAGGAGGCTGCATCATCTGCGGAGATCCAAAACACAAAAGAAAGCTCTACATCTGCAGGAGGTTTAGAACCACCACAAAGCTCCAGGAAAAGAGGGACGCAGTGCAACAGCTCGGAGCCTGCAAGAGGTGCCTCGAAATCCACAATGAACCCTGCAGAGAAACTACTTACCTGTGTGGGAATCCAGAGTGCAGAGACCAACACCACTACCTTCTCTGTCCCTTACCCAGACAGCTGTCCCAAAGACCCAAGTTTGGTCCGGTGAGAGCTGAGGGGAAAAATTACACCGAGGCCCAGGAAGAGTTTCTTTCCAAACTTTCACCTGAGCTAGCGCAGCAGTGTCGCAATGCTTTCTGCAACATCGCATCTCGAGCATACAACTCCACTGCAGCAGAGAGAGGAGAGAGAGGCCTTCTGGAGGAGACTGGTCTGCACGAGTACCCTGTGATCCTGATGCTCCTTAACGTCACTGCCAATGACGGGCAAAGAATCGGAACACTTATTGACCTGGCGTCTGACACAAATTACATAACCCACAGAGCTGCAAGCAAGCTGAACCTTCGCAGTGAAGATGTCGCACTAGTCGTCCATGGCGTCGGAGGGATGAAAGTATCTGTCGCTACAAAGCGCTACCTCCTCAAGATCAGAGTCAGGACTCCAAAAGGAACTCTGAAGTCTCACCAACTGATCTGCTACGGACTTGACAAAATTGCAGAGGTGCACCGACATGTTCAACCTGACAAGCTGCAGAAAATCTTTCCTGATGTTCCCCTCAAAGACTTCATCAGACCCAGAGAAATCCAGCTTCTGATCAGCCACAAAGAAGGCCAGCTGGTGCCCCAAAAAATCCGTTCAATTGGTGACCTGGTGCTCTGGGAGGGTCCACTAGGCAAGACAGTCGGGGGCATGCATCCAGACCTCTTTGAGGAAGTCACCCTGATGGCCCATTCGTCCAAGACTCACTTCGCCAGATCAATGAGAACTTCAGCAGTCAAATATCTCGAATTCAAGACAGACCCAATTTCCTGCCAGTATCCCGACCACCCCGAGACCCAGTCTAACACAGCCACCAGCAGCAAAGACTTTCTGAAGTGGTGGAGGTGGGAGAGCATCGGAGCCGCCTGTCAGCCGAGATGTGGAGGGTGTCGCTGCGGGAACTGCCAGCCAGGGGGAAAGGAGATAACTCTTGCAGAAGAAAGGGAGATGGAGATCATAAGAAATGGTTTGACATACACGACTGGAGATGTACACAGCACCGAACCACACTGGCATGCTAAGTATCCGTGGACAGAAGATCCAGCAACCCTGCCAAACAACAGGAAAGCAGTAGAGGCAACATTCCTCAGAACTGAGAAGCAGCTATCAAAAGAACCTGAGTGGAAGGCGGCCTACGCTGCACAGATCCATGAGATGGTGAACCGCAGGGCCGCAATGAAGCTGTCCAAAGACATTCTGCAGAGTTGGACCGGGCCAGTGTGGTACATAAGTCATCTCATTGCACTAAACCCACACTCAGTCTCCACCCCAGTCAGACTAGTGTGGAACAGCAGCCAAAAGTGCAGAGGTCTCAGTCTGAACGACATCCTCATCAAAGGTCCTGATGTCCTGAACCCAATCCGAGCTGTCTTATTGAGGTTCCGAACTGGTGTCTACGCTGCCCTTGGAGACATCCGGAAGATGTACAACTCTGTCTGGCTGGAAGATCGAGAGGTCCACCTGCACAGATTCCTGTGGCGTGACAGTGAAGATGCCGAAATAGAAGATTTTGCCATAACAAGAGTCAACATCGGAGACAAACCTGCCGGTTGCATAGCCCAAGTCGCCATGCGAGAAACTGCGAACTTACCTTCATTCAGTCACTTCAAGGAAGAGAGACGCGTGCTGGGAGAAGATGTATACGTCGACGACATCCTGACTTCACATAACGACCTTGACCATCTGAAATGCCTCACAGCCAACATCAAACACATCCTGAAAGCTGGAGGATTCCACATAAAGCCCTGGGTTTACTCCATTCAAGGTGGGAGGAAAGAACCCAAGGATGAGATACCAAAGACTATGATCCTACCAAACCAGCTGACAAAAGACGACAACAAAGCCCTTGGCCTTGGTTACACCATCAATGACGACAAACTCCATGTCATGGTTGCAGTTAACTTCTCAAAGAAAAGGAGAAAGATGCGCCTTGGTCAAAACCTGCTCAGACAGGAGGTCAGAAATCAAACACCTGATCCACTCACCAGACGAGAGCTGCTAAGCCAGGTTTCTAGCCTGTATGACCCACTCGGCCTTGTGACTCCTGTCAAACAAAAGGGTGCCATCCTGGTCAGGAGAGCTTTTCAAGAAGCCAAGGTAAAATACTGGCTAGAAGACTCGTGGGATGCTGCTTTGTCTGAAGGTCTCAGAGAAGACGCTATAAAGCTATTGGAAGAATATGCTGACCTGAGCCAACTTCGTTTCACCAGATCCCTGACTCCACCAGATCTCTGCGCAGAGCCCAGTGCAATCACATTCTCTGATGGCAGCCAACACGCATATGGCGCAGTGATGTATCTTCGCTGGAGTTGCAGCCGTGGTGTCGTTGTGAGACTGGTCGAATCCAAATCCAAGCTGACCCCCCTTGACCACAAAGGGGATCCTGTAAAAGCTGAGATATGCGGAGCAGTCTTCGCAGCCCGCCTCAAGACCTACTTCCAGAGACACTGCCGACTCCAGGTCAAGAAATGGTATCATCTTGTCGACAGTCAAACAGTCCTGGGTGCAATACAGCGTGAGAGTTATGGCTACCAGACTTTCTTCGCAAATCGCGTTGGTGAGATCCAGAGCAGTACCGACGTCCAAGACTGGTGGTGGATTCCAGGGCCAGCAAACATCGCAGATATCATCACTAGAGGGGCCAGTCCAGATGCCCTAACTGAGGACTCCGAGTGGCAGTCGGGTCCAAAGTTCCTCCAACTTCCTGACGATGAGTGGCCAAAGAAATCCGCCAGAGACGTCGCAGCCCAAGCTCGGGACAAAGTCACAAGGATCCAGAAAAAAACATTTGTAGCACTACTCTCCAGATGTCGCCTGAAAACGGCACAAAATCCAGCCCAGCTAGAGTATGAAAGACCACCAGCAGGAGCAGCAGTCCGGCATCTAGTCGATGGAAAGCGCTTCAGCAACCTGAGAAGGCTGATTGGGACTGTGGCTTGGATCTGGAGAGCAGCTAAAAAGTTCTTAAGTGCCAAACCAGAGACCAAGAAAAGTGGGAGGCAGTACCATCCTCGGGTATCCTTACAGTCAGAGAGAGACGGGACGTGTTTCGAGACCTTTGCCTAGCAGCACAAGAGGGCGTCAACTTCCCAGGCACCACAACAGACAGATTAGTCGTCTACAGAGACCAAACAAGTGGACTTCTAGTTTGTGGTGGGAGAATCCAGACCTTCAAAGAAGACCGCAGAGCTGTTCCCCTCCTACCTTTCCAAGCCTGGTTATCTACCCTGCTAGCCAGAGAAGCACACAGTAAGGGACATGAAGGTGTGGCGGGAACCCTGCTGCGGATGAGGATAAAGGCGTGGGTCATCAGAGGAAGGGTCATTGCCCAAAAAGTCGTTGACAAGTGTATCGTCTGCAAGAAAGCAAAAGCAAGAACCTGCAAGCAAATAATGGGAAACTTACCTGATGAGAGGTCTAGTCCTGCTGCACCATTCGAGTTTACGTCCGTTGACCTGTTTGGACCTTACCATGTGAAGGATGATGTCAAAAGAGAGTGACCATGAAAGTATGGGGCGTCGTGTTTTGCTGTATGTCCAGCCGAGCCATTCATGTCGAGCTGGCAAACACACTATCAACAGAGAGCTTCCTGCTTACCTACCAGAGATTCACCGCTGTCCGAGGCCATCCCCGTAAAATCTGGTCTGATCCTGGTACGAACTTTGTCGGAGCGAGACCTGTCCTAGAAGAGATGTACACTTACCTGAATCAACAGAGCAAAGAGTCACTTGAAGAGTATGCTGCCAAAAATGAGACGACCTGGATGTGGAAAATCCTCCCGGCCGATTCACCTCACCGAAACGGAGCCGCCGAAGCTGCTGTCAGAGTCACCAAGAGAGCCCTCCAAAGCCTTGGCAATGTAGAAGGTCTTACCTTCAGTGAGTTCCTGACAGTGCTCCAGCTAGCTGCTAATCTTGCCAATGAGAGACCCATTGACGCCAGAGTCCAAAGCCGAGAAGAGCGCATCCAGTACATCACGCCAAACAACTTATTGCTTGGTCGAGCTACACAAAGTGGAGACTTCAAAACTGTCGACTACACCACCTACCCATTCAAGAGGCTCAAAGAAGTGCAAACGATAGTAAACAACTTCTGGAAGTCCTGGAGCCAACTTGCTGGCCCGAACCTGTTCATTCGCAGTAAGTGGCATACTGCTGAAAGGAACGTTACCATTGGAGACATAGTTTGGCTCTGCGACCAAAATGCACTGAGAGGGCAGTTCAGGCTTGCAAGAGTCATCGGCGCAAATCCTGATTTCAGAGGTGTCGTTCGAGATGTTCATGTGAGAGTCTCCCCAAGTTCCAGCATCTCTGTGAGAAGCTCAAGACCTGGTGCCGCAGATCCTGGATCAAGTACCATACTGCATCGGGACGTCCGGCGCCTTGTGGTCCTCATACCATGGGAGGATCAAGTCAGAGACCAGCCCACCTGAGAGTACGATCTTTCCGGGCGCCGCCACGTAAAGATCGAGTGGGAGGTGTCGCGCTGATCTGGCAGAGGTGCGCCTGTCTCCCGTGTGCCCGCCTCCTCCTGCATGCCGTCTCACCTGCGTGCCGCCCCGCTCTGCATCGGCAGCCGCGTGTGACCGTGCGTGCGCGCCCTGGCGCACCCTCGACCAGGTGAATTAGATTGAGCAATCAGAAGCTCGCACACACTTCAATCAGCGGGAGCATATAACGCAGTCATTTGGCTGGTGAAAGGGACTGACACGACGGAATGAGCAGCACACATCCACTGCGGGGAATGAGACTTTTGATTTGACGGGCTATCGGTAAGCTCACTTGAATGTTGTTTAAATCTTTTCTGTTTAGGTGTTAATATGGGTGTGTTAAAGTTGTCGCTGCATGGTTGAAGAGAGGGAGAAACTATGTTCAAATGCATGGATATATATGGTTAAAATGTGTGGGTTTTCTACCTAATTTGTGTAAAAGAATGCTTAAATAGTAAGCCAAAATTGTTTTGTTAAAGATTAATTAAAATGCATAATTAGTTTGGTGAAATGTGAAGAATAATATTGAATTTAAATATACTTACCGTTTTGGAAATATTTACCTTGACTTGTGTTTACTGTGGAAATACCTGTTTATTCAAAATGCTTTTTATTTCTGTGTTTAAAGGTTTTTCACCTATACTGTTCAACTCCTGTTCAATTATTCAAATAAATTATTCTGAGTGAAATCCGAAGTCTGGTCCTTTTCAAGTGTGGACACCTCACAGTTAAAAGAAACACTTGACAGAAACACTACCCCTTTGAAATCAACTTTGCTTTCTCAAACGATCACACGCTATCACACAATGCTGATGAGGAGAGGAGACAGGGCCGGGGCCTCAGGGAGTGGGGCAATAAGAAGCCATACTAGTAAACAGCTCTAAGCCACTCGACACCTTAGGGACATTCACAGGTCCTCTGCAAGTCCTTCACTCTAACAAAGATTTTAATTTAACATTAAATGTGAGATGAGTCACTAGCAGCATCTTCCATCATTTTGTGACAGCTTTTGCACCTAATTATGAAAAGATGGATATATTTTGGTGTCTGTCATCAAAGAGGTAGAGAAGGAAAATTTTCATTCCTGAGTCAAAGAACAGCTGGAATTACTAAAGTGACATCCTTACCCAAAGAGGCCTTTGCTCATGATGTTGTCTGTAACTCAAGTATACTCATATTTCACCTATTTTCATCTTCACAATCATGACACAAATATTCCCCAGTGCACTGTAGGTGCTGTGCACAACTCTTTAGCAATAGAGATGATTTTACGGATTGTCTCTTCAAATGGTCCTGCAAAAAGTTCAATATAACAGACCACCCAGAGAATTACCTGCAATCTTGTTGATTATCTCCCCATTCACATCGATTATCATGTGGTTCCCACCCCCCTCATACTCAGTTATCTCTCTGTGGTTGCTGATACGGAGCTACATTATTGATCGCAGCCCATTAACAGGGAGAAAAGAGCACAGTTGCCACCTGATTCATCACATCTCATGGCGGAGCCATCACTCAATGGGCCACCTACACTTAAAACTGGAATAAACATTCGTCCAGGTACACTTTTAAAATGAATTCTGAGAGTTTATCAGAGCATAAAAGAGCATAAATGCTGCTAGACTCTTCCCAAACAGATCTAAAGTGTGACAGAGGTATATCAATTTTGTCAAAAACAAAAACAAAAAAAGTTACAAGCAAATATTAGGAGATGCTTTCTTCTGAAAATCTTTATACTCTAATTACTACATTAATTGTGCTGGTTGAATGCCTATAGAATTAATATTAAAAGGTGTACATTTTACCGGGCTAAGAGACAATCATTGAACATACCTATTTACTCTACACCCTGACTAATACTAGCAAGCGAATTACACATGACAATGACAACTGCAACAAGAATTGTGTGCAGTCAGCGGTTCTGCTTCAATGCAATAGTCAAGCTCTTTTAGATATGTGCACCACAGCAGGCTACACATTCCTCTCTCCTCTCTTTTGCCCAGGGTGCATTAAATGGATTAAAGCAGTACGAGCAGCCAAGCATATATTCATTTCCTCCACACTGAGGGTGAGAGCAGCAGACAGCATATTATGGAGTGTCACAAAGCCCCTGGACCATCTCACCAAATCATAGACGGAAGATTAAAATCTTTAGAGTAGATACAATCTCCTTCATTAAGCGGCTTTGATGCAGCAGTGTTTGTTTGCTTATTGCCCAACATAAGCAGGAGTTACCACCCGTATGTGGGAGAAAAGATATGAATGTATTAAAGAAAGAATAGGCTTATGTTGTGCAGTATTTTTCTGCACAATTGATCACATTAAATTTGTATCAATATTCAGTGTAACACCTGAGTAGGCTCTTCATAACAACAGAATGATACTCCAGCAGCTTTATTGATATACCTCTCCCATAACAAAATATGCCTTTTCAGATGTTGACCGTGTTTTCAGCAACGTTGCATTAACATGCAATACATTTGCATTGGCAAATATGTAATGGAGGAAATGTTATTGTTACCTTGATTATTTTCACTAGCAATGTTTTATTACATACAAAGCTTGTAACTTTGACCCTGGAGATTTGGGTTTGTGTCACATATCCCATGTGTGATTGGTGTTAGGGCAAGACCAATTACACAAGAGTGAACAGATGTATGAGGTAGAATGCAAAAACAAGAGCAGCACACAACGCATCTAACTAAGATGCTCTTCTAATATACAGTCACGCTTGAGATTTTTTTACTCACGTCTCACGAAAAAGAGAGTAAAGTTACATAACTTGTGAATTCAGAGATGCCGTCCTAACTTCTGTCTCCTGTCAATGCCAAGATCTAATTGGATGGGTGTTGTGGAGCTCAGTTTATTTGACGTCAATGTTTGATTTAGTTTTAGCAAAACATGTTTGAAAATAATGTGAGCTACTATCAGCTGCCGATCTCTCCATTGGACATAGCAAACATTCTGGGCTTTTAGTGTGAAATTCACATTCACAGATCTGAAGTTTAAAGTGCTATATGTAGTTTTCAGCAACCACTAGCAATGCGGTTTTAGATTGCAACCAGGTATGTGCTTGCGCACGTGCTTGAACTCATAAAGTAGCAGAATCCAATACACACAGAGAGACAGCTTCACATAGCATGCTGGAAACTACAGTAAAATCCCACTTTAACGTTACAGTAATATTTATTAGGTTGACGTTGAACTAATCGATGCTACAATGTTACAATGACTGCACCATTGTGTCTCTCCATGACTGAAACGCCTTTCAGATGTGGACTGTGTTTTTCATCCGACTTCAATCAGATTCTCGTTTGGCCTGACGAACTTCAGCACATAGAAATTTTTTAGTTTTTCTTTCTTTATGTGGAGTTTCTGTTGGGAGCTGGTCGTTTTTTTGTGTTAGCAGACTCCATTTCATCAGCTGTGTTTTCACTATGTATAGAGTTCAGAATCAGAAGGCAAGAGGCTCAGGAGCACGCATGAACATCCCAACCTACGTGAGCCAGTGAATTTTTCAGAAAATCTGACCCGATTTCTGTACATAGGAAGCAGTCAGACGTAATCAAGGAAGCCA